AAAAACAAGCAAACAAATAAGCTTTGTTCTTAAAACAGAAAGATGAGGCAAAGAGAAGTTACCTAACTTGTCCAAATTTGTGCCCAGGAAGCGTAGTCCTACATTCCAAACTCCTAGCACTACACTAAACTCAGTGCACTAGCAAGTTAAGAGTGAGGAGAAAACCTGAAAGACCCAATCATGCCAAGGCTAATATGGCACCTTGTTTTTTTCCCCACATGTCCATAGTTGCGGCTTTATGCATATTATGTATATTTCACTTTCTGCCAGTCATTTAACAGTTCTGCTATCATTATGTGTTTTACAATCAACAGTTAAAGGAATTCATTGGAATATGGTAGCTTGTAAATGGAATTAAATTCTTTATTAGACTAGATGACCAGTTTGCAAACTATACTCCCCAGAGCAATGGAGATTATCTCAGAGAGCAGGTGACATAGGCCAAGGAGGCTCCCAATTCAAAAAAGTCAGTTTCATTTTTATCTTCTCTTGTTTGGAGGAGGCATTCACATACATTTATCAAGGAGAAGATTCCACTAATTAAGAAAAATGCTTGAAAACCATGGATTCAGATGAATTATTAAGATCCCATGAAGGTATAAGATTTCAAAGTCCTCAAAAACAACTCACAGACCATATGACCAAGAAAGGCTTTCCATTTTTCACTGCCTTCAGTACTAATATATTTACATTCTACCTACTTACAGAATTTGGGAGGGATGTTATAAGTATACATTTTAATGTCCCATATAGTCATAATTTTTTTAAGTGATAATTATTTTTAATTTAACATTAACACACACACACAGAATAAGACTAGAGCTCTCAAACAAGGGAGAACAAGAGGAAGCAGTATCTCTGCATCAAAGAAATTTTTTTTAAAAAGTCGTGTATGTTGTCTTCCTCCTCCCTTAAAAACACTGACATGCATTTAAAAATTTATTGAGTAGCCACTCTCCAACGGACTCAGCTTTTTCAAGATATACAAAGATACACAAGACATGTATCACCTTAAGTTTAAAAAGTGATATTAGACATTCACCAAATTAACTGGGCAGAAAGAGGTACAGGCCAAAGAGAAGCAAAGGAGAGAGAGGGAAGCTTATAGGAAACGGAGCACAGCACAGGGAAACAACTTCCGCCTGTGCTAGCAGGAACGCTCTCAGGAGCGGAGGCCTGAAGACAGAGTCCAAAAAGGGAGACTCTGCACGCTGACACATGACTGTTCCATGTGTCAACTCTTCCATGTTCCAACTCTTTAGTCAACAGTTTACTATTTAGCAGGAGAAAAGGATAAATAAACAAACACCTAAAACATGATATGTTAATTATAATGTGTGTGCATAATATACGAATCTCCTTGGGGTGGTGGGGAGAGCAGGAAGAGGGAAGGAGGAAAGGTGACTTCACCAGGGCCCTGAGGATGAGCAGGGGTTTGTTGTAAAGAAAAAGGCATTTCAGGCAATGGGAACAACACAAGCAAGGGCATGGAGAAAAGAAACCACATGGTGTCTCTGGGGACTGGATGTGTGAGTAAAGAGGTGACTGAGGATGAAAGTGAAAATGAGGCCAGGCCAGATGGTGAGGAGCTTTAAGCCCAGTGCCAAGGAATTTGGCTCTATTACAGAAGGCACAAAGGTTTTCAGAAAGGAATGATTTCACAAAAGATGACACTATGAGATACACTTTCTAACATTTTTTTCAGGCAGAAAAATATTTCAAGTTTCCACTGGCTGCAAAAATACATATGAGAAAATTAATTCCAGGACTTCTTAAAGTAACTCCAAAGGTCCCACTGGCTATGAGTCCAGATAAGAGCTCCCTGAGGACAGAAGCGATTTGTATTTATTTTTCTCTAGATCTCTAGGACATGGGATATAGAGAAACAAATAGGAATTGGTGTGTGATTAACGATGATAAGACAGAACAAAAGATAACTCAAGCTTCTGGCCTGATCATCTCAGTTGGGTTCCCATAAGAAGAATAAGTTTTTGCCTAGGAGATGTTAAAATTCAAAACTCTACAAAATATCCAGGGGTTCTGTCCATAAGCACTTCAATAAAGGTTTGAAGCTCCAAAAAGTCTGCACCACAAATATGACTTTGAGCACTGCCATATATGCTGTACTGGTGACAGCTGAAGCCATCTGAGTGGGTGAAGTCACTGAGAATGAACAGGCCCAGTTCACAATCTAGCACAGGCACACCTTGGCGATAAAGCTGCTTCGGTTCCAGACCAATGCAATACAGTGAATATTGCCATAAAGTGAATGATTTTTTTGTTTCCCAGTGCATATAAATGTTATGAAGAAAAATGAAGCCTGCTGCACTGACTGACTTCATGAACAATTTCTCTGTAGAATGAAAGGCTGTTTTGACAGCATTTTCCCCACAGTAGGACTTCTTTCAAAATTGGGACTCAGTCCTCTCAAATCCTGCCACTGCTTTATCAGCTAAGTTTATGTAATATTCTAAATTCTTTCAACAACCTCCACAGCACCTTCACCAGGAGAAGATTCTATCTCAGAAGCTGCTTTCTTTCTTTACCTTAAGAAGTAACTCATTAGTTCAAGTTTTACGCTGAACTTGCATACTCAGTCCTATCTTTACGCTCCCCTTCCGGGTACTCTTGTTACGCCCACTACACCTACAGTTACTTCCTCCAATGAATTTTGAAACCCCTCCAAAGTCATCCGTGAGTGTTGCAATCGACTTCTTCCAAAATCTTGATCACGTTGATACTTTGACCTCCCAATGAATCACAAATATTCTTAATGTTCTGAATCTTTTCCGCAAGGATTTACTTTACCCAGGTGCATCAGAGGATTCACTATCTAGGGCAACTATAAACTCACAAAATGTATTTCTTAAAGAATAAAACTTGGAAGTAGAAATGACTCCTTGATCTGTGACTATAGAATGGATGCTGTGTTGGTAGACACGAAAATCTCGTACATTTCCCTTGGAGCTCTTGGGTGACCAGGATCACTGTCAATGAGTAGTAACATTTTAAAAGGAATCCTTTTCTCTGAGCAGTAAGTCTTAACAGTAGGCTTGAAATTTTCAGTGAACCATGTTGTAAACAGATGTACAATCATCCAGGCTTTGCTGTTTCATTTACAGAGCAGAGGCAGAATAGATTTAGCATAATTTTTAAGGACCTTAGGGTTTCAGAATGGTAAGTGAACACTGGCTTCAACATAAAGCCACCAGATGCATTAGTCCCTAGCAAGAAAGCCTGTCCTTTCAAGCCAGGCACTGCCGTCTCCTCCTTAGCTGTGAAAAGTCTTAGATGGCATCTTCTAACAGTATCAGTATTCTGTCTACACTGAGAATCTGCTGCTTAGGGCAGCCCCTTGGTGAATCATCTCAGCTGGATCTTCTGGGAAACTCGCTGCGGCTTCTGCAGGCTTCTGCGTCAGCTCGTGCTCCCTCACCTTGCATTTTTATGTGACGGAGATCACTTCCTTCCTTAAACTTCAAGAACTAACCTCTGCTAGCTTTAGCCTTTTCTTCTGCAACTCCCTCACCTCTCTCAGTCTTCATAGAGTTGAAGAGTTAGGGCCCTGCTCTGGATTAGGTTTTAGCTTAAGGGAATGTTGTGGCTGATTTCATCTTCTATCCAGACTACTCAAACTTTCTCCACATCAGCAATAAGGCTGTTACTTTCTCATGATTCATGTGTTCACTGGAGTAGCACTTTTCCTTTCCTTGCAGGACTTTTTCTTTGCTTTCAAAACTTAGCTCTTTGGTGAAAGTGACCTAGCTTTCATTTGGTCTCATCTTTTGATATGCCTTCCTCACTAAGCTTAATCATTTCTAGCTTTTGCTTTAAAGTGGGAAATATGTGACTCTTCCTTTCACTTAAAACACTTAGAGGCCATTGAAGGGTTATCAACTAATCTAATTTCAACATTGTTTTATCTCAGGGAATACGGAGGCCCAAGGAGAAGGGAGAGAGATGGGGGAATGGCTAGCTGGTGGTCAAAACACATGCATTTAACAATTAAGTTCACAGTCTTATATGGGTACAGCTCATGGCACCCAAAAGTTACAATAGAAACAACACAGATCGCTCACTACAGACCACCATAACAAATATAATAAAAATGAAAAAGTCTGAAATATTGGTGGAATTATCAAAATTTACACAAGACACAAAGTGAACAAATGCTGTTGAAAAAATGGCACTAGCAGCAGACCTGCGCAACAAAAGGCTGTCACAAATTTTCAATTTGTAAAAAACACAAAATTATCTGTAAAGTACAATCAAGTGAACAGCAATAAACCAAGGTATGCCTATAGTCTCAGGACAAAGATGAGGCTAGACAGATAAAGAACATTCAGAGGAAAAACAAGAAAGGGATATGTGTGACTAAGAAGGTAGACATTTCAGAAACCATTCAGAGTTTGGTGCCAAATGGTTAGTTAGTGTGAAGACTGGAAAGTGGCTACTGAATTTGGAAACTCGGTAGTTGCTAATAAACATCACTGAAGTGTGTATAGGATTGACCAGGTTGAAGAATAAAGGGACATGGAAATAAGAGACAATGAATGGAATCACTCTGTCCACAAAGTGTGGCAATAAAGAGAAGGAGTGAGAGGTTTCAGTATCTTGACAGGTCATCAGGGACAGAGGCACATTTTGCGCATTATACCTTTTCTTTAATACAACTTGTCTCTAGAGACTGTGAGAATAAAAACTGCCTTCAGTATTCTTAGAGCACCTACTAGATTATACTATAAAAACAGCAGTGCTACTAAGTCCTTGTTTAGATTGCAAGATATATCTCATACACTTCACTAAATGTTAACTAAATTCCAGTGTAAAGAGAACAATAGACTGAATCAATTAGTCATTAAATTCAAATCATTTACTAGCATGGGGCTGGAAAAGAGACCACACCCTGCTGCGGAATTCGGCACGCTCTGTGAGCAGGGCTGGGGAAGCTGCAGGTTACCGCAATCCCTCCGCCCTGGGCTGCACAGGGCCATACTCACCTCCATAGTAGAGTCCTGTAGCAGTGCACATCCGCCACTGTCCCTGATACATTCCTGCTCTGCTGGGGCTGCACATCTGGACGCTGACATCTGCAACCTCTTGGGGCTCTAGCGATCTCACCGTCACCATGTTCACATGTCCAAACTGGTCTCCCCCGACATATTTAAGACAAACCCCTGGAGGCCAGGCCTCTGCCCCTGAGTTCAAGCAAAAGAAAAAAATGTTAGGCAATCAGTGGTCCTATGCTGGGTGCAGTTCATTACAAAACTGTAGAAGATGCCTCTTTGTCTCTCACACATACGTAAACCTACCCATATTCTTGAGCTACACACTGATTAGGGAGAATCAGAGTCAACAACTTCTGACCAATGGCCTACCCCTAACAGAAAGCACACATGACAAAAGCTAGGCAGTTTCTCAAGAAGTAGTGTTTTGGGTGCCTAGTGAAAGCTACACACCACACTAATCTGTAGAACCTAGGAATGATGTCTGAAAGGAGCCATGGAAATGAAGCTCAGCCCCACATCTCTGGAAGACTGCTTTCTCTACCAAGAAACATGCCCATGTGTACCTGAACTTTTAAACTGACATTCAAAGTAAAAATATGCCTGATTGTCCCCAGTTTTTCCATTGAGAAAAGAAGATGAAACTCATGAAGAGTAATTTCTGTATTACTTTCATTTTCAAACTACTTTTTCCCTGCTTTTTCTTCTGGAGTCCCTAACAATGAAAAGATTGAGGGTCAAAAGACAGAGGAGTCAAGTGAAAGCTTCATTTTCAGGTTCAAACAGTAGAGGGGAAAATGTGAACAGTAGGCCCTGATAACAGTACACTGACCCATGGTCTCAGGGGTGATGACACTAGCCAGAGGTTCCTGTAGAAAGAACAGGAATGGCAAGACAGAGAAATAGCTTTGGCAGGAATGCCTTGCCTGCCTTTGGAAGTGGCAAAGGTCTCATTTGGTTCCCATTCTTGTGCACCTATATTCATGTAACTAACTCACATGAGAAATCAATATATTGACTTCTGACCAGTCACAGGTAGCCACATACAGTGACTAGATGTGATATTTCCTGTAAAGTCTCTCCAACACACTCCTTTTTACTTTACAGAGAAACCTCTCTGTATCTTTTTTACATTCACTATAAACATAAATCACTATGAAAAGCTGGACACGGCAGGACTCTCAGCATGTTGAAAACTCATCTAACAGTACTCTAGGATTCCTCAGTCCCTTGTTCTTAAAGTGCCAGGCCAGTTTAGATACTTGATGGCTTACTACTGAAAAAAGCAAGAACTGGACAGGAAAAGCAACCAACACTCTACTGCTGAGATCTCAGACTCATAATGAACGGTACCTGCTGTGGCTCATGGTATTTAGGGGTGGCAGATGGAGCAGTGGTTGCAATGTTTTTTATTATTTTTTTAAAAAAATCTGCCAGCAAAATGCCCTCTTAAATTAACACTTTAAAGGGCAACTGCTGCTGTTGAGAAGGTTGTAGATGATACACTGGTAATATATGCAAATTCTTTTTTTCATTTCTGGGGTCTATGGCCTAGCAAAAGCATATTTGTCTTAGGTCAAGAATAGTAGCAGCTGACGTGAAGTACCTTGGAAAATGTTGGTCTTTTTAAAGATCAAGATACAAAAAAAAAAAAAAAAATTAAATTACTACTATAGGGGTGAATCCAGAATTATTCTTTAAAAGGCACATGCGCACACAGACACACAAATCAAAAAAGACAATGTCTGTTTATATGAAAATCCAAGAATGTTTTTGAATTTTAAAGAAAATGAAAACCAAGACTGCCTGGGTATGGGAAATACTTGGCTGCCCTGATCAGACAAGCACAAGCAGCTGAGACAGTTGGATCTCTCATCTATGCAAAAGAGGGAGTACTGCTCTATTCCAAGGAGACTTGGTAAACTGTGAAACTATTAAAAATTATGTGGCTACAGTTGAATCTTTTTCTATGTCAGACCCTACTGATGTGGTACTTGGAGAGCTTTTTTTTTTCCATTTATTTTTATTAGTTGAAGGCTAATTATTTTACAATATTGTAGTGGTTTTTGCCATACACTGACATGAATCAGCCATGGATTTACATGTGTTCCCCATCCCGATCCTTGGAGAGCTTCTTGAAGAAAAAACTGGAAGAGTTATGCACCACCAGCGCTAAAGTGTTACTATGCTATAAAATGAAGAACCAGTCATCTGCCTTCTGAGAGCTGCCAACAGTTTACAATGACATATAGTTCTTACAACCCCAACTGCTAAGTCAGGTAACTCTGAAAAGGTCACTGAAACTGGTTCTTGATACAGAAGGAAGGGAAATACTGATGTCTGTTTGACCTACCAAGCTAAGCATACCAGAAAAATCTAGATTTGAGAAGTATAACATAATGGGGCTTCAAATTAAGTCTGATACAAACTGGCTTACTGTGGGGTAGACAGATGCTTCTAGAAGAAAAGAAAGACTAGTCTATGTTTGACGACTTTCCAAGGTAAGTATCACAAAAGCACACAAAGGTTTTAATTATCCAGTTATTATGGAATATAATTTTATTAAAAAATAAAAAGTCAAAACAAGACCAAAAAACCTATCATATGGCAACTTTGAGATGATAGTGAGTATGGCAAAAACAAAAGTCCACCAGTTCCAGCAAGTCTGAGATTTAGTTTGGGGACAGAAGGAACAGCCAAAGAGCAAGACAAAACACAAACCTCGATGAAGACCCCCTTCTGTTTTTTAACCCCTCATAGTTTACAGAATGCATTTCAAATTAAGCTACAGGCAAATAGAGACCTTCACTGATCTTGGCACCACTCTCCTTCCTGTACCTGATACAGTGACTGGAACGTAAGGAATGTAACTCTATTAAGGAGTTGAAGAAAACTGGAGGGAATAGTTGTTCTTTCTCAAGTTTCCCTTCCTCCCCCATCAACTCTTGTTTTATATTCACTTCTATGTAGTTTAGAAAATATAGATGACTTTGAAGTCACTCTCTCATATGACAATCACAACTACTTCATTAAAGTCATAGAAACATAAGAGTTATCATAATATGCGTAGTTTAACACTCTTCACAGCTGGCCAGCAGAGCATAGCTGCAATAACTGAGAAGCTTTAAGTATTGGTAAAGAGAATTGTCTACTTTTGTCTTAAGAGGGACAGTTTCAAATTTTCATTTTAGACTATAAAGTATCCTTGGCAAGCTTCCCCAAACTTCTAAAACTTACATAGTACCCAAAGTGTAGACTCTGGGATTCTGCATCTATGTCACTACATGTCTCACTTCTCTTTCTCTATGATATGAATCTAAGCACTTTCGTATCAGGCATTTAATTTTAAACAATGTATTGACATTTATCTTCCTTGGGGGAGGTGCTGGGACAGCTATACGCAGTTCCTATCATTCTCATCTTTCGTAAATTTGAATGTCCAGTGTGCCTGAAACATGACAACAGAGAGGCACCATGAAAATTATTTATGACACTCTTTCGGGGGGAACTTATCTCTTAGGGAAGGTTATGAATGAGAGCCAGAGGAGAAAGAGCTAAGGTCTACTCTACTTCTTCCTCCTTTTTTTTTTTTTGGCCTCACTACGCAGGATGTGAGATCTTAGTTGCCCGACCAGGGCCTGAACCCATGCCTCCTGCACGCAGTCTGAACCACTGGAGCACCAGGGCAGTTCTGGTCTACACTACTCTTGTTACCACTCTGTTTGCAGAAGGACTCAAGTAGATTAGGATGACGCCGAAGAACCAGCTCACGTGCCTGCCCTCCTTGTGTCTCTAAAAACATATCTGTCACTTAACTATGGCAGGCCCGTTTCTTCTTAATCAAATGGAAAGCACTTAGTCTACAAACAAAAGTATTTTACAATTGGTATAAAAAATTCCAGAAGAAGAAAAAAACCTATTTGTTCAAAGTACCTTTCTAGCAACTGTTGCCCAATTTTTAAAGAGGTGTACAGGAACAAAATTGTCCTTTACAGGAAGAAAGGCTGCAGACGCAGAGACTGTTTTAAATTGCAGTTATTATGCAAAAAGTAGGAGGAAAAAGAGCCAGTCCCACCAAAACAAATTTTTCTTCAAGTCAAGGTGAAAGGCTTTTTGGGGTTCTGATTTGACATTCTAGACATTTTATATCAATCCCTTCCAATCTCCCATTAACCCAAGGAACAGTCTAGTGAGTGACAAGGTATTTCAAAGAGGCTTTCTGAAATATAAAGTGGTTATTCTGCAACAAGACGGTATTTAAAACATTTAACAGTACTCTAACAACTTTCAATATTGAAGAACACTATAAAGAACCCATGGAAAGCCAAACCGTTTCCAGTGTTTTCACTATTAAGTAAACAAGGTCTTGGATTAGTTATTTTAAATAAACAAAACTTTTAATAAGTTATTCTTTCTAAACAAACATCACTCATTTAAAAAATTCATGGCTAGATTTCAAAAGCATTTCTGATCAGCCACACAGATTTTTAGTGAGTCAGAGAAGAAACATGATGAATTAAAGCTGACATGAACATCGCAGCACTGTTTATAATAGCCAGGACATGGAAGCAACCTAGATGCCCATCAGCAGACGAATGGATGAGGAAGCTGTGGTGCATATACACCATGGAATATTACTCAGCCATTAAAAAGAATTCATTTGAATCAGTTCTAATGAGATGGATGAAACTGGAGCCCATTATACAGACCGAAGTAAGCCAGAAAGATAAAGACCATTACAGTATACTAACACATATATATGGAATTTAGAAAGATGGTAACGATAACCCTATATGCAAAACAGAAAAAGAGACTCAGATGTATAGAATAGACTTGTGGACTCTGGGAGAAGGAGAGGGTGGGATGTTTCAAGTGAACAGCATCGAAACATGTATATTATCTAGGGTGAAACAGATCACCAGCCCAGGTTGGGTGCATGAGACAAGTGCTCGGGCCTGGTGCACTGGGAAGACCCAGAGGGATCGGGTGGAGAGGGAGGTGGGAGGGGGGGGACCGGGATGGGGAATACATGTAAATCCATGGCTAATTCATTTCAATGTATGACAAAAACCACTGCAATGATGTAAAGTAATTAGCCTCCAACTAATAAAAATAAATGGAAAAAAATAAAAAATTAAAATAAAAAAAAAGCTGACGTGAAGAAATTGTTTTAACGTTTTTAAAAGCAGGCAACATTAGGAAAGGTGAGACAGAAATTAGGAACATAAATCAATCAAACTTATAACAAGAATTTCAAGAATAGAAAACATAGCTATTTTCCTGTATTACCATGTGCTTCTCAAACTTATAATGCACCACACTGTTACAACGAAAGGGGAAAAGAAGTTAATGAAAACTTTACAAAGTCACTGATGTCCCAGTCACCCACAACAACAGGTCAATCCAGATTATGTGTTTTTGCTCCAAGACACACCAAGCCTTCGTCCAAACTAAAGTTATTTCCAAATAAGCCAGACAAACTAAGAATAACAGGTTGGTATATTAACTATGATATAAAAGGCTAGCTTAGCCAGTCTCTCCCCATCATAAAGAACTCAAGTATAAAGAACTGAGAAGTAAACAGCAACCCAACAAAAGGTAACCTTTATAGGTTTGAGTCCCCAGAGTTTTCTATGGTTTCATATCAGATTACCATGCTAGACAGGGATCCCCCACACCAACAAATTTTAGCTAAGTACTCCTTTTGTATTTTTAGAAAACTTTCCATCTCTCAGAATTTCTTTTGTAAACACTCAATAATAAGGAAGTTAAAACATCCTCACCTAGTCAGCATATATTGTTACTGGATGGAACAAGACACGCTAATAAACTCATTCAAATTTAAAAAGTCATTTCAAAAGAATGTAACAAGTTATCAGATATTATTTTCAAAGAACCATAATTAACTTATGCTGAATTTTTCTTAAGTCAGCAGTAAGTCAAAACAATGCTTCTTTAAAAAAGCAACTTTTCAATCTTTCCATCTTTTCTATTCTGAGCAAATTGGTATACTTCTTACCCTATTTTTTCAAAATGAGGATAAGAGCTCAGATAGCTCAATGAAAATTTCAGACAGAATAATCCTCGTGGTTCCAAAGAAATGAGCTTTCAAAAGAGCAGATGCTCACAACTCTAGCTACCTTGTTCTTTTCAAGGATGTACCTCCTCCAGCATGCTGGAAATAACTGGAAGATTAATTAGAGCAGAAATAAAATGATGGAGTAGAGCTATACTTGCAGAGACAATACCACCACCACACACATGCCTAGTTCCTGGTATCAAAAGAATATTGAATTGTGTTTAAATGTCAAGGACGAAATGCTTCCTAACCGAGGGAATGTTTGATTGGTGTTGGGTCATCACACCAGCACAAGAAAACGAAACATGACGTGTAAGGAGAACTCAGAGCTACACAATCACGTAACGCAAGCTAAAGCATTTCCTTGTTTCTTTTAACTGCTAAGAGAAAGAAAACTGGGCAGGGGAGGTTGCTCGTTATACATTTACCAGAATTCTGGATCCGCCACGTTTTTATAAACTGGGTGTCAGGAGGTATGGACTCCCCTTCCCCTATGGTGACGTCTTCAACAAAGGCCATGGAGGGTACACTGATGTTTGGGCTCTCAAAGTCATAATAGGCGCCAATTGCTGCTTGGAGGTTCCTACAAATAAAAAGAAAAGGCAAACGACTTCAGTCCTCTCCACAGCATATTAATCTAATCGTCAAACAAAAGAAAAACGCCTGTTGTCTTAGGTTATGTTATAGAACCTGAATAAAGAAGGTATATAGATGGCTCGTAGTATGTCAGTCTTCAGAGTTGTTGATTCTGGCTTAGGAGCAACAGGAAAAAACACTAAGGACCAACAAACTTGTGCAACGCTTTCTTCACAAGGTACCCACGTAGAAAGCAAGCATTATTAGCACCATCAGCAACAATGTGAGGAAATCTCCCTTTTACCCACAAGGACAGCAAGTATGGGTAAGAAAGTCAATTAAAAGATAGCTCCTCTGTAGCTGTGACTAAACTTCATAGAAGCTCCATGAAAGAAAATTCTCATTTTTTAAAAAGGCAATACTTAGTTCAGAAAGTTTAATACAATGGGGATTTCCGTGGTGGTCCAGTGGTTAAGAATCTGCCTGCCGACGGGACATGGGTTACATCCAGGAAGGTCCCACATGCCGCAGGGCGCCTGTGCTGCGCAAGTTCTGAGCCCACACTCTGGGGCCTGTGCTCTGCACACACCACAGCTCAGAATGGCCCCCATTCTCTGCAACTGGACAAAAGCTGGAGCAGCAACGAAGACCTGGCACAACCAAAAATAACAACCTTCTTAAAGAGCTTCATACGATGAAAAATACCTATCTTATCTCTTCTTTTCCATACACATACACACACAGAGGTAGTATTTGTGGCTTTAATTGATATATCTAAACTTCCTGCAAAAAAAAGTTATACACTCAGTAAAGGCTCTCACCATGAATGTATGGAGTGTCTATTTCCCCATTCATTCATTAATAATACTTCTCTTAACACTTTGTATTTTTGTCAATCTGATGGGTGAAAAATAAGATCTTGGTGAGGTCTGAAAATGGTTTTCTCTTTTCATGAGAGGTTAAATATCTTTCAGGGCTTCCCAGGTGGCACAGTGATAGAGTCTGTCTACCAGTGCAGGAGATGCAAGAGATGCAGGTTTGATTCCCGAGTCAGGAAGATCCCCTGGAGCAGGAAATGGCAACTCGCTCTAGTATTCTTGCCTGGAAAATTTAATGGACAGAGAAGCCTGGCTACAGTCCATGGGGTCACAAAGAGTCAGACACAACTGAGCTACTGAGCACACAAGTATCTTTTACACTTTTACGAGCCATGTGTAGCTTCCTTTTAGAAGCACAATTTTGTAAATGTTGGTGTTCTTTTTTAATTACTTAAGGAACTACCAAGCATACAAACCAGAGTCCCTAACTGAACAGAATCATACAACTGACAGCTTGGTTCATCAGTGCCAGAAACCAAAGGCCACTAAGGGGTTTAAGAAAGCTGTGTTCATTAAAGAAATTGTTGGTAATTACACTAACTGTTTCCCTTATGGTCTTCCTCAAACTAGTGACATCATCCCCAGTCCCCAAGGAAAAACAACACAAAGAGCATTTTTCCAAATATAACCCAACCATAAGCCAATGGATCCAGTGGGTTGTTTTTAATTATGCATAAACATAGCATGAAATAAGGTCTGACAGTACACAACTGTTCAACACACATGCTATTAAGAGCAAATACTTTTCTGCCGAGGGCCTGCCTACTCTTCCAGGTGTTTGCAGCTGCCAGAAAGGAAGGCTATATTTAGAGCAGCTACCTCAGGTCAAGCCCCATGCAATGGTGGCCTGTAGTATTAGTGAGTAATGACGGGAATTACACTACCACCAAATGCTGGCCTGTCACGTGTGTGCTAGATAAAATTTACACAGAGCAGAGTCAGGCGAGGGTCCAAACTGTGCCTGCTTATTTGACCATTCAATAGGAAGGCGTGGGCTTCAGTCTTCCAGCAACTTCCTTATTTAGTTGGTACTTATCTAAAGTGAGAATATGTGACTGTTCGAATTTAGGGACGCCCAGATCCTACCATTCACCAACAGACTCAGGAGTCTATCTGGAATCAGCCTGACATTTAGAGATCAGACATAAAACGAGGGAAATAAAAAGAGGCCGAATTTTTATTTTGTTCTTCTGAAAACTTTTTAAATAAAAGTGTCCACCTTTTCATAAAGATAATTTTTTTTTTTGCCAAAAGTCTCAGGCAAACAGCCTGAATTGTTTTCTGTTCACTTAGCTGTAAAATATGCTTGGGAGGGAAGAAACTATTTGTGCACTCAGGACAACTGCCAATTCTCATATTCAGTCTGTGTCATATTTCACCACTTGGCTGTGCCTGCTATCAGACAGGACTTTGAGACCAGCATAGCAGAAACACGAACAAGTGGAAAAGTCCAGTTACTCTACTTAGGCGGATCCACCCCCTCTCCTCAAACCTCTTTTCACACATTCCTACTTAACCCACAGCCAAGCCAACAAAACTGCTTACTTGTACCTATATTATCCAGAGAACTCAGCCAGAGAAAGATTAAGAAACATTTTTAAACCCCAAAGTGAAACTGAAAGTAGAGAACAAGTCTCCTGGCAGGAAGGAGTGAAGGATGACAAAGCACAATCATTTCCCAAGTGCAAGGCGGAAAAAGAGGACATGAGCCTGGCTGCTCCCTAACCCGCAGAGTAGGTACACAGCCCCCCTCAGCGCTGAGACCATTTAGATCACTGCCTCCCTGGGCCAAGGAACAGGAGGAATAGACTTAAACAGCTCCAATTCAGTGTGAGAATAAGCAAACATAATAGCATGCACTCATGTTTAAAACAACATACTCAACTACTATTAGGCAACAAGAAACTCCACATGAAACAGAGACGGCTGAGGACATAGGAAAGAAACTTGGACGCCACTGTGTTCATCTCGGCCTGAAAGTTTAAACCTCCAGGTTCCTTCAGTGTCTTTGCTCAAGAAGAGTTTTTTCTCTGATCTCAAAGTTTTAGGCACTTTTAAGTGCCTAAAGAACGAAGGCGAGCAGTGTAACAAGCGGAAAAAAGGCACAGGCAAAGAAGATGGATGATGGTGATGATTATGTAACATTGTGAATATACTTTATGCCACAGAAGTATGCACTTTAAAATGGTTAAAATGGTAAATTTTTATTTTACTTTATTTTTATTGATATGACCAACCTAGACAGCATATTAAAAAGCAGAAACATTACTTGGCCGACAAAGGTCCGTCTAATCAAAGTTATGGTTTTTCCAGGAGTCATGTATGGACATGAGAGTTGGACCATAAAGAAAGCTGAGTGCTGAAGAATTGATGCTTTTGAACTGTGGTGTTGGAGAAGACTCTTGAGAGTCCCTTGGACAGCACGGAGATCAAACCAGTCAATCCTAAAGGAAATCAATCCTGAATATTCATTGGAAGGACTGATGCGAAGCTCTAATACTTTGGCCATCTGATGTGAAGAACTGATTCATCAGAAAAGACCCTGATCCTGGGAAAGATTAAAGGCAGGAGGAGAAGGGGAGGACAGAGGATAAGATGGTTGGATGGCATCACCGACTCTATGAACATTAGTTTGAGTAAACTCTGGGAGCTGGTGGCAGGAAGCCTGGTGTGCTGCAGTCCATGGGGTTACAAAGAGTCAGACATGACTGAGCAACTGAACTGAAATGATAGTTGATTTGTCATGTGTTTCAGAAATGTTAGTTTCTGATGTACGGCAAAGTGATCCAAATATATTCTTTATCATATTCTTTCCCATTATGGTTTATCACAGGATATTGAGCATAGTTCCCTGTGCCATACAGTGGGACCTTGTTGTTCACCTGGTAGTCTGTACCTGCTAATCCCAAACTCCTACATTTATATCCTCTGCACCCCCTTTCCTCCTGTGGTAACAGTAAGTTTGCTTTCTATGGCTGTGAGCCTGTTTTGTAAATAAATTCATTTGGATCATGTTTTAGGTTCCACATATAGGTAATATATGTTATTTGCCTTTCTGACTTACTTTAATCAGTATGATAATCTCTAGGCGCATCCATGTTGCTGAAAGTGGCATTATTTCCTTCTTTTTATGGTTGAACAATATTTTAAATATTTACCATATCTTTGTTATCCATTCATCTGTTGATGGACAATTAGGTTGCTTCCATATTTTGGCTATTGTGAACAGTGCTGCGATAAACATGGGGGTGCACGTATCTTATCAGTTTTCTCCCGATACAGGCACAGAAATGGAACTGCTGGATCACATGGCAACTCTATTTTTAGTTTTTTAAGGAATCTCCATACTGTTTTCCATAGTGCTTACACTAATTTACATTCCCAGCAGCAGTGTAGAAGGGTTCACTTTTTCCCACACCCTCTCCAGCACTTATTATTTGTAGACTTTTTAATGATGGCCTTTCTAACTGGTGTGAGGTGATTCCTCACTGTAGTTTTGATTTGCATTTCTCTAATAATTAGCAATACTGAGCACGTGCTTACTGGCCATCTGTTTGTCTTCTTTGAAGAAATGTCTATTTAGATAGTCTGCTCATTTTTCCATTGGGTTGGGTTTTTTTTATTATTGAGTTGAATGCACTCTTTGTGTATTTTGGAAATTAAGCCTTTGTCAGTACATTGTTTGCAAGTATTTCCTCCCAGTCCATCGGCTGTCTTTTCAATTTATTTATGGCTTCCTTCCTATGGAAAAGCTTGTAAGTTTTTTATTAGGTCCCATTTCATTATAAAAAGGTAAAATTTTAAATGGCTTTATTTAGAGGAAGCTCCTAACCCCCGGTTGTGGAGCTTTGAACAAGTGGCTAATCATCTGTGTCAGTTTACTCATATACAAAACTGAGTTTTTTATGGTAATTTTGGCTTATATTTTATATGACAAAGTTGGTGTTACAAGGTGGGCTGTGAAGACTGCATGAGGCAATGCGTGTAAATGCCAATGTTTTACACTGGCAGACATTTAATTAACGGACATTTATCCATGTGCAAGGCACTCAGCCTCGGACAGAAAAGACACCCATTACAGGCAAGGGTCCTCCCCATTATAAAGCCTAGCAGCCTGCAGCAAACCAGA